GTCAAAATATGCTTTGTCTAATAAATAATTCTCCTTTATTCTAATGTACTTCATTTCTTCTCTCAGGCGTTCACTGCTCGTGTGTGACCATTCGGCGAATTTTATATGCCAAAGTTTTTAAATAAACTGAATTTTACTGAATATTTCGAAAGCGCATTAGATCTGAATATAGTAAAAGCTGTTTAACAAAATAAAAGATCGATTGCAAAATTATTTTGGTATTTGCATTAGACAAAATTGTGGTAACGTTAAAGGTATGAGATCTTCAGCCTTAGCAAGTTTATTTCTTGTAGCATCTCCCAGAAAAAGTAATTACTTTTTTTTAAAACGCACTTAATAATCCTTGGATGAACAAACTCTCAATTATGTTCGAGAAAAAAAAATTAAACAAATTACTAAAAAATTGAAATATTTAAAACAAAAACAAATACTAAACTATAAATATTTTTATCGAGGCTCACTCAAAAATGAAAAAAAAAAACAATTTTATAGTAAAAAAGTTACTATAAAATTTAACGATTATTTAAAATTTACTATAAAAAAGTTACTATAAAATGTAATCATTATATAATATATGTTTGATATAAAAAAATATGCAGTTCAATTAATAATAAAATAATAATGTATTGAAAGTAGCTCATCACTTTCTTCCAATATTACTATTAATAATATTAATATTCACTGCCCGACCGAAATCTCAAAAGAGTTTAACTAGTACTTTATTAAGGTTGCTCTAAATTTATCTAATTAAATCATACCTCCAATTTTTTTTATTTAAAACATTATTTTAATAATAATTTATTGGTGAATTAATGGTAAAAAAAATTAGTATATTTTCTTATCTTTAAAAACAAATAGGTTTTGATGATATTTTTTGATGAATCAAGCATTATAGTTATTTCAAACAATATCACCAATCTTTTATTTATGTATAATTGTATGCATAAATCTATATTCGTCTTCTAAAGATGCTCTTTCTCTTCTTTACTAAGTCAGGAAGAGAAAGGACATCTTTCAAAAAAACCAGCAAACAATTGGTTGTTTGATTTTTATTTTAATCTCAAACATCAGAAGAACCGCCTCAAACATCTATATATATATATATATATATATATATATATATATATATATATATATATATATATATATATATATATATATATATATATATATATATATATATATATATATATATATATATATATATATATATTAGGTACGCGCACTGAAATTTTTAAATTGATCATATAGTAGAAAGTTATACATCATTAGAAAGGCCTTCAATACAGTATTTTAAAGTTGAAAAAATTATTAAAAAATAACAATTCTAAAAAAAAGTTATAACATTTTTAGTCGCAAATTTTAGATATATGGAATTGTTGAAGAAACTGTGGTCAAAATAATTATTTTTTTCACTTAAATTGTTATAACTTTGTCAATTTTTATCCAAATACCAATATCTTGGTATCAAAAGATAGGTGTACTAATGGGCTAGAAGTTCATGTTGGTGCCTGGATGTAGGGTGTATCTCGGGAGCCAAAGGGTGTAATGAAACACTATCTAATCTTTAAGAAAATACAAGTTTTTGTCAGAAATAAGCACTTTTTTAATGTAATTGCTACATTTTATACGCAAAATATTGTCATAACTTGATTCCAGAACACTGCCGAAACAAAATAAGGTGATCTTAGAGTTGGCCGTAGATGTGGTTTTGATCACCCTAATACAATAATCATACATTCTAATAAATAATTTAACCTTTATTACAGTAATTAAATATTTTGTTTAAAAATAAAAATATTTTATTTTACTATACAAGATACATTAGTGATGCACACACTAACTTTAGGGGGAGGGCGTATGTCGCACCGATATTTGATAATGATATTTTCAACATTTTCACATGCAATTTTTAAAAAAGAGAAAGCACAATACAGAACTGAATTACCAGATTACAAGTTGCACGAGTATACATTTTCTCATTTAAATGATCATATTTAACCCACCAACCTAATAAAAACAAACAAAAAAAAATGTTTTGAAACATAGTAATTAATTTATGTCTTGGCTTTTAGTAAATGATTTTAAATTTAAGTTCCAATGCAACTAAATAAATCATTTTTATCAAAAGACACCACGTGAAGGTAAGCCAGATAGAGTTGCAACCCCAAAAAAAACGGTGTGTTTTTTTAAAAAAAAAACACGTTTTTTTTGCAAAAAAAACAGACTGGTTCTAAAAACATGTTTTTTATAGTTTTTTTTGCTTTTTTTTAGTATTCATTAAATTTTAGATAATAATAATACTTGAAACAGTTCCAGTGCCCTTAACCCTACAAAATACAAATGTTTTCTATTTAATAAAATGCATATTAACTTATATAATAGCTGTTACAAACTAATCACCAATATTAAAAAAAAACAGTATTAAATATTTAAAAAAGTAATTTTTTAAATAAATCTCAAAAAAACTATACTATTAGCTACTAGTTGATTGTAAGTATAATACTACTGAATGAAGGAAATAAAAATGTTATTTTAGCAGTGTTATTTCATTCATAAAAATGAATGAAATAACACTGCATTGCAAAATACAAAATTGAACCAACTGTTAAATAAAATTTACTTTAATGTTTTATTTACTTTTTTATATTACTTTTTTAAATTTTTAATATTTAATTTCTTTATTTTATTTTAAATTGCAATTAGATAGCTAAAATTTTATTTATTCAAACAATATTCCAGTAAATAAAAATAACACAATGATTAACTTTGTCTAATGAAAAAACATTTATATTAAACAATTTGTAATCTATTAATTATTTTTAATTAAAAAAAAAAAAGAAATCTAAAAAAAAATATGCCAGGCAGAAAGAAATGTTTTGTAGCTACATTGTTCAATGAGGCACCTTTAGAATCTGGAGGTTCTAAAATTCAACAAGTTATATTCAAATTTTGCAGCTTAAAGCTATCAAAAAATGACACTCGAATGACTAAGCACATTGCAAAATGTATGAAATGTGGCGATCAAATAAAAAACAAATATTTGAACGATATGCCTTTTAAACAGAAGAAAGTTCAAACTGAACTAATGATGGAAGAAGATATTCCTGAAAACTTACCTATTCAAGATATGAAAAAAGAGAAAAAAATATGTTTATCATCTGCTATTCCACAAGTTCCAATTGAATCTTTCTTTCCAACACCAAGCTGTTTTGGAAACCAAAGTAGGTCTACAACCCCTAAGTTTGGAGACTGTAAGGCAAATAAAACCAAATCAGATAAGCCTCCCTTAAAACGATTGTATTCTTCAACAAGAGTTCCATTCACAACTCAAAAAAATAAAATTGCATCCGGATACGGATGCAATTTTATTTTTCTGAGTTGTGAATAGTTGTGGATGCAATACGGATTTGACTTTACAATAGAAGACCTTAATGAACAAGAAAGCCAGAATACAGAATCTGTTATTAATTAAAAATAAATCTTTTAAATGATGTACTATACATTTACCATATATCATGTTATTAATATATATTATATTACATTTATAATAAAAATATAAATTAAATAAAAGTAAATAATTTTTTTTTTAATCTAAAAAACAAAAAAAACAATAAAAAACACAAAAAACACAAAAAAAACATGTTTTTTTTGCAAAAAAAACACAATTAAAAAAAAACGGTTTTTTTTGCAACTCTAAAGCCAGAGCCGTCTATCTATTTTTTTTTTGCAAGCCACAAAATCTGCTGTACCTATTTGCAAGCCACAAAATATAGGAATAATATATGAAATGTTACTAGTAGGTCCAGGGTTCTGCAGCAAAAATGACCTATAAGCTTCATATGTAAGCTCTAAAAATAAATAAAATATCAATGTATTTGTAATTCATGCAATTAAAAATTCATTAGTTTACTATCCGCCTCCCCCCTATCCTCCCCCGTATTTCTCTTACCGATAAAACGAAAACAAAAAAAACCGAATATAGGTATCAAAAGTCCTACACTTCTTATAATATCTGTTCCCTAATATTTTTTGCTGAAATTTGGCATGTGCAAAGAAAATGCATGCAAAAAAGTGCATGTAACAAAAAAAGCGGAAACTACATTACTTCGATAACAATTTAATGTGAGAACATCAACAAAATTTTCATGAAAGTTTTCAGCAGAACTAACCATAAAAAAGTTTAGTGCTTATACATAAAAGTACTATAAAAATCAAGCGTAACCTTTCTTCTTTCCAAATATAATTTTTGTTTATATATGTTTCTAAAAAGAAATACCACTAAAAACGTTTGTCTAACCCTACCTAAAAAAAGCATTATATTTAATAAAGCACCTCTAAACATATCTGCTCCCAATTATTTTTCGTTGAAATTTGGCACAATAGAAAATACATGTATAAACGTGGCTGATCAATCAAAAAAGCGGAAACTACATGCCTTCGACTACAAATTCATGTGAAAACATCAACCAAATATTCAAGAGCAAAATAATCCGTTAAAAAATTTAGTAACCATACATAAAAGTTAAAAAAAAAAATAAAGATTAGCTTCTCTTCTTTCCAAAAAGTATCTATGTGTATATATGTTTCTAAAAAGAAACTCCACAAAACTACGTCTACCCCACGCTGTCTAAAAAAATGAAAAAAGCGAGTCACAAAATTTTAGCACGAAAATCGGTTCCGTAAATCATGATATGCGCGTACCTTTATATATATATATATATATATATATATATATATATATATATATATATATATATATATATATATATATATATATATATATATATATATATATATATATATATATATATATATATATATGATAAAAAATACAAAAAAACTTTATGCGTTTAATCATATCAGTCTAATTAGTCCACATTTTAAGTTATTAAATCTTATTGTGGTACACGGTAGTGCGAATGCCTTTGTTATAAATGTTATTTGCAATACCATATGTTATAAACTCCACTAATAATGTATTTTTTTTATTTTAATAGGCATTCAACTTTGTGTCAGTTACAGTCATCTCTTATGCCTGTGCTTTTGTATTAGCGGTGTGTGTCGAATACCCTGTGTTTAATATAGAGAGCATGTTTTTTGAATTATAAAGGTTTTCTTAATTATTGTTTAGAAAATTTTATTTTGATTTTTAAACTCCGAGTCAGTTAACTCTTAGTTATTTGATTATTCGAATAATTATTTGAAGATTTTTTCTTTGACAATGCAATGTTTTTAAAGTTCACTTTTTTATTCTTTTTAGTGTTCACGTCGTTATAATTTAGACTTTTTTAGTGTCTGTATCGTTTTTCTTTAAATTCATAAATATATATTTTTTGATATTATTATGTTTACGTTATTATTTAGATATTCACTTTTTTTTTTTTTTTTTTTTTGTTATTCTATATGAGCAGCCGTGGCGTAGTGGTTAGAGTTCTGACTCAGAACCAAGAGGTTCCAGGTTTGACGCCAGCTTTAGCCTAACAAGCGACATTGGTACGGAAGGAGGTGTGAACTTCTTGTTAAATGCTCTCCCACGGTGCTCTATGATAAGACCGTAAGGACTTCTGGGAGCACCTAAAATAACTACAAAAAAAAAAAAAAAAAAAAAAAAAAAAATATGTCATTATGAATTAGATTTTTCACTTTTAGCTGATTATTTCAAATATGAAGAATTATATTAAAAAATTTTATACTATTTTAGTATTCAATTTTATTTGTAATATATGACTCAGATTTATATAAAATAAATGTTTTAAATTAAAAAGTAAATGTATATATGTCTTGTTAATAAAGTCATTTTTTGTATAAACTATTGTATTTTATAATTTTCAAATTATATTTGTTGCAGTTTTAAATGTATACATTTAAAAAGTTACATACATTTAAACTAATTTTTGCTTGACTCTACTAATAAGTTGTTGTTTGTGTTTCCTTAGTAGTGGCTATGCTTCTTTTTCTTTTACCTCCTAAAGAGGGTACAGGTCTAATACCCAGTTTAATGGTTCTGATACCGTCTTTTAGTAAGATTTCCCGAGCTCAATGACGCTAATTCAATCTGCAGTTGTAAAATAGAATAGTATTGTGCAATATAGCAACATCTGCCATGTGCAATATGGCACATGTTGCCATGTTGCACATGGAAGGTGTTCCTGTTAGTGCTTTTAGTGTGCAATGTCGAAGTCTTATTAGGAGCTCTTTGTTACAAAATTTACCTTGTTACGAACCCTTTTTTCACTCGCTTGATTTGTTTCTGACACTTGTGCTCAGTTTCCCCTGGTTCCCTTTAAGTGGATCAGTTCATGGTATGATCTTACTAAAGTCTTGACCTTTCACATTTAATTCACTCGATCATTTCACTTCTTACCTCAAATTTCAGGCTGATTAGGACTCATTTTGTAGTTTTCTTTGCTGTGGTCATTAAATTAAGGGACTTATCTATCAGCAATATCAATTTATACAAAACCCCAAAAAGTGATGAGCAAGAGTTCGTAAAATGTTATCATTTAAACTCAGACTGTTTTTCCTTGGAAAACCTCCTCTTCCTTCTTTGGTGAAAATAACGCCTCCTATATAATCTCCTGGATTATGGCAGCCAAAGAAGCTTTTCTTCTTATCGGTTTCAATTTAGTCGTCTTTTTTTTTTTTTTTTTTTTTTCATCTTTTCTACAACAACAACACTCGAGAACAAAGGTCTTCTTGTTATTGCAAGAAATCCATGCAAAAAGGTTTTTTTAAAAGGCAAAAAGTATTTTTAAATAACTCCAATTTTAAAAATCTCCAATTTTATCTCAGAAAATAGGATCTAGAGGTTTTTAGAAAATCTTTAACATTGAATTTAATAAAGAAAATTTTAACATAAATTAACCTTAATTAGGTACTGATAATCCCAATTAATCCCATTTTCTTTCAAGAAAAATTTAATCAATATGTTGCTATAGTTATTTCCCTTATAATCTCTTTTACAGCATTTTGTCCAGATGACATTCTTGTTACTGTCTTTAATAAGTGCTTAACTGAATCATGTTTTCCTACCTGCTAGATAATGGAATCTTTTTTCTAATTTTATAAAAACTCTGGAGATCACTCAAAGCATCTCTAACACCTGTTCAACCTTCTTACTGTTGTTAGCAAAATTCTTTAAATACTTAAATAACACCCATTAAAAATTCTTACTATTATCAGCAAAGCCTTTAAAAACTTAACGAATTTCTTGAGTTTAACAACTTGCACTCTGACAATACGATTTTCGATTCTTTGTTCTACTGTTGACGTGTTAATTGTTATGACAGAAAGGTTTTATCGAGCATTAAATGGGAGCATTAAAGCTAAGGTTGATGCTCCTGATATATCAAACAATTAAGATCTGGCATAGCGGTCTTCTCATTGAGCTTGCTTTAAATGATGTATTTCGGAAAGTTTTTAAAATTAGTGAATCATTTCATTCTCATCGCAAAATTAAAGTTTTCCATCCTGCTCTTATATTGTTTTTTATCTATACTAAAAGTCATTATTTAATGATAACTTAGAACAGGCAGCTGACTTTGAATCTGGTCTCTTTTTTGTGACAGATAGGAGTTAGCAGTGGCTGATGAATTTTAGAACAAACAAAACTGTTAACAATTAAAGCAATATGGGTAATATTCTTATACTGCTGAATGACAACGCTCTTACAGAGCCTTCTGCATTACGTCTTTTTATATTTTTACTAACTACTTACTTGTAACTTACACGAAAGCCATTTATACAATCCATTGCAAAGTCAGCAATATGTTAAAGTTACCTTTCTTTATCATGCTATCATTCTTACTTATCTCTTATATATCTCTTACTCGTCCTTGTATGAAGTACTATTGCCATTTTGGGCTGGTACTTCTACTGAGCCTTTTTTTTTCCTTTAGAAAAATTCCAAAAGATCTTGTAGTTGAACCTGCTCTAGCTGCCAATCTTAAGCCTCTGTCTATATATATATATATATATATATATATATATATATATATATATATATATATATATATATATATATATATATATATATATATATATATATATATATATATATATATATATATATATATATATATATATATATATATATATGTGTGTGTGTGTGTGTGTTACTTTACTGTTTAAAAGTTATAGATATTTAATTAAACTTTTTAAAAATGGCCAAAGTAACCCCGCTGGCCAAAGTATTACGATATATATATATATATATATATATATATATATATATATATATATATATATATATATATATATATATATATATATATATATATGTGTGTGTGTGTGTTACTTTACTGTTTAAAAGTTATAGATATTTAATTAAACTTTTTAAAAATGGCCAAAGTAACCCCGCTGGCCAAAGTATTACGATATATATATATATATATATATATATATATATATATATATATATATATATATATATATATATATATATATATATATATATATATATATATATATATATTTATATATATAGCCTTCACGCTGCCCTATTCAGCGGCCATGATTAACGCCATTATTTTTCTAAACTTACCTATATTATTAGTGAAGGACCTTTTTATTTTTAGGTGCATTATTGTTATTTAAAGTATTATTATTTACATATATAAAAAAGAAATTAAATTTTGAATTTCTTGAACTGTGAAGTTTAAATTTCTTTTTTATACTTTAAACTATTATTTATGAAAAAGAAATTTTAAACTTCCCAGCCTTAATATTGATAAAATAAATATTTCTAAAACACTGCTGTAAGTTGGAGTCTAGAAATAGTCGACACAATCGCTATTCAATATTGACTATTATAGCAACTTTTTCATCGTTTGACAAGTCGATGCCAAAACATCAATGATTGCATCGTCATTAGTTATTGGAAGAATGTCCTATTCACAAGACATCAGCATGAATGATTGTAAACTTGACTGGCTCATTAAGTTTCTTAATCAGTTCAAAATATATTTCAATTTCGAAAATGATCTTTCACAAGCAACTTGTGATGAATATAATGTCAACACAAATTTTAAGCCAGAAACAAATTTGAATACGCGAGACTATGCAAGTTGAACTTCTGGAGAACAAAGTAACAACAAACAATACATTTTTTTGCAAGATTTGCATTTATTTCTGTAGCTGTCGCTGTTTTCTTTCTGAGATTGGGATTGGTATTCTGGGATTACTTCTGAAATTGCAAAGACAGTTTCAAATTCTACAGGTTTACATTGTTGGAAGTTGTCTCAGACAGAATCAGATACATCCGTGTCAAATAGCAAATTATATTCGTCTTTAAAATTTATTTCAAAACTCTCCCATTTCCTTGAAAAGTCCAATAATTCTGTTTGAAGCTGATCTTTTATTACACTAGCATCAAATTTTCTGAGCAAATCACTCAGGTGGTGCAATGCGTCACTAGGCTATATTTTTCAAAATTTCTGCAAAATTTCTCGGATCTAAACAAGATAAATCAGCATATAGACTACCATGCTCTGAGAATCTCTGTTTTAAACCACTGATTACTTGATCCATTACCATGTTGCAAACATTGACACGAAATTTATCTTGCGCACTTTCAAGTTGGTTTGCTCTTATTCTTTTCTATTTCAAACCAGTCTGAAATTCAATGTTGAGATTCCGTTTTTCATTGGCTAATAAATTGCTTTCAAACCAGTCTGAACTTCAATGTCGAGATTGCTTTTTCCCAGTTCACTGTTTGCAAGTTCTGAGAAATTTGTAGCTGCTTGAAAAATGAAAAATCTAATTTGCTTAATTCATTAATACCATCTTATAGGCTCTTAGTATATTAATTCCAGTTGTTTGCAAATATTCAGACAATAGCGTTGTGTGCTCAAATACTTTTAAAAACAATTGTACCGTCAAAGTAAATTCAAAACTTGTCAATGAATCTAAAAGAGCTTTCGCTCTGTAACAGATATCATTATTCAACTTGATTGATGTAGAAATATCATGAAATGTTTGTAACATGTCAATGAACAAAAAATCAGTAATTTGTGTTTCTTGATCTGAGGTTTTGACAAAGAAATTTCGTTTCAATCAATTTGAAACCTAAACATACCGGCTTCTCTAATCTCTTCCACCATTATGCTTGTTTAAGATGTTGTTATTGCATCAATGACTTTATTAACAGTCGTTTTTGACAGAAATGTGACCAAGTTGCCACAACCTCTGTTGCCAACTGAATCATGCCGGGATTTTCTTTTTTGAACCACCTCTTTGATATGTGCTTCCAACAACAAATCAAATTTGCCAACAAGCAAAAGAATCTCTAAAAAATTCCCATGATTTACTCTGTCATCAAGCAATGTGTACCCAGACTCTTCAGCATCTCTGTAGCACGCTTACCAATAACTTTTAAAGTTTCTATAATTCTTTCTAAAATCAAAAAATTCTTTTTAATCTCTTCACCGTGTCGGCGCGAATAAATACTCACAATATCTTTGGCATTAACTTTTAAGACATACGTCTCTGTGCAGGCTGCATGGAGTGCACTGCTTTCATGTTCTGATATTCTTTGAATTTGGAATTCGTAATGTTATATTGACTAATGAACACCGATTATTTATATACCTATTCCTTAT